CCTCCTCCTCCTCCTCCTCCTCCTCCAATGTTAGGGGTCGCGCCAACCACGCGCGGCGTGCAGGGGAGATATACCTCCCAAGGGGGTACGATCGAATACGAAGAGGGCTGTTCTAGAGTATTTAGGGTGTACATGTTGAATAACGCGCGAGCGGCGAAGAGCGAACACTATCAACATGATGTGTTCGTTGTTGCCCGTCAGCCCAGGAGGCGCCCGCACCACTCTTCTCCCTGTCTGCGCACCAGCTAAGTGCTTCCCGTGATAACTGGTTCCGACGTCGACGACCGCGGTGCGCCTCCCAACCCAGGAAGACACCGCCCCTAGCTCTTCTTCCACCTGTCTGCGCACCAGTTCGGTGTTCCCCGTTGCTCACCTATTTGCGCACCAGTTAAGTGACTTCCCTACCCCGCCCAACTCGTGGGCGTGCCTGCCGCTAGGGCCCCCGCGCGCCGTCTAACCGAGGCGGCGCGCGGTCGGGTTGGCCACCCTCCGCTGCTCGGCCCCTGGTCCCAGCAGCTCCCCGCCCTGCGGCGCGCCATCCTCCCTGACGGCGTGCCGCCACTGCCACGTTCGCACCCCGTGGGCGCTTGCCGTCTTCCGCCCGCTCCCTGGCTCTGCCCCCCCTCGGCAGTCGCCATGCTCTGCGCCCCCCCCCTCTCGCCGAGCGAGCCGCGCGCTGGGCCGCATCTTGCCAGTGGCTGCTCCCGCAACCCCAGCGCTTCGCAAGTGGCCTTGCCTTTGTCTGCAGCTTGCGCTGCCCCACTTGGGAATCTCCGCCGTTGCGGTTCACCTCCCGCTTTCGCGTCCCCGCCCTGGGCCCACGCCCGTGCTACCTGGTACGCGGCACGGCCCTCCTCTGGGCGTGCGGGGTGCCCGCGTCCCGCCCCCCTGGTGGTTGCCTTCCTCGGCGCCCCGTCGGACGGCACCCGCTGCGGCCCGTCCCTCTCCCTACCCTCATGGGGGGCCCGCCCTCGCGTCGCTTGCGCTGGATTCCGCCGAGTCCCAAGCTGTGATGCCGTGCGCTGGCTTCGGGATGGCGTTCGCCTCTCCACCGTTCGCCTCCTGCACCGCGCCCCTGCGGCCTGCTGCCTGGCCGCCCAGTCGCGCCTCGCCACTGGCCCGCCCGCCGCTCTCCGCCTTCGGGCCGCTCCCGCAGCCGCTGCAGCGCCGGCGCGCTGCGCCCCTGGCCCGCCGCCGGCCTCCACGCCGCTGCCCCCCCCCCCCCCGCCTGGCGCCCCGTTTCTCTGACCGCCCGCTGCTCCCCCTCGCCCACTTCCCCGGCTCCGCCCGCACTGCGGCTGCTGGCCCCGCCCCTGGGTGCGTCGCGATGCCGCCCCGCGACAGGTGCCAGGGGCTGCCCTTCGGCCCGGCCGCCCCCGCGCGCTGGCCGCAGCCCCGTCGCGTGCGAGTGCCCCCCCGCGCGCGGCTCCCCCCCTCCGCGGCCGCTCCCTCGCCTCCCCCCCTCCTCTTGCAGGCGGGTTTCGCTCGGACGCGCGAGCGAATTGCCTCTGCCGCGCCGCGACGTAGAAAACTGTGTTTGTTGTTGTCGTCTTCAAAGCCTGCGACCCGCGTGCGACCTGCCCGCGACCCGCCCGCGACCCACCGGCGACACACCCGCGACCCACCCGCGACCCGCTCGCGACCCACCCGCGACCCGCTCGTGACCCACCCGCGACCCACGGGCGACCTACGCGCGACCCACCCACATTGCTTTGACGAAAATTCGGCACCTGCGGCGGGCTCGCTGCGTGATATGTCAAAAATCGGCGCCCGCGGCGGTCTGCAATGGTTTTAACTGCACGTGGTGCCCAAATTACGGTGTGAACTTACGCGCGGGGTGCGCCTCGATACCCCCGAAGAAACTAACGCGCAAAACACGCGGGCAGCTGGGCAAGCATCGCTGGTAGACAACTTCTACTGCTACACGCATGTTAACGTTATGGGTACCTTTGTGTACACAGTTGCTTCCAATATTTCGCTCATCTCACCTATCGTGATCGCCGAACTCGCGGTGCACTGGTGGTGACCCTCTCCCTGTCCTGACCCAGACAAAACGGCACCATCAGCACTACAGGAAAACGACGCGAACCAGAAGGAGTGGCGATGGTGCCCTCAATCAGGCGACGAGGCGCGGGAGATGGAGGGAAGAGGAAAAAACGAGGGATCGCAATGGTCTGACAGGGAAATAAAGGAAGAATCATGTAGGCGGATGTGGGGGGAACGGAGAGGAGGGAGGGGAAGGCGGATAGATGGGGGAGAGGAGGAAGGGGGGGATGGAGGGAGGAGGGAGGGGAGAGGAGGGAGGGGAGAGGAGGGAGGGGAGAGGAGGGAGGGGAGAGGAGGGAGGGGAGAGGAGGGAGGGGGGACGAAGGGGGGGGCAGGAGGATGTAGTAGGCGGAGGGGGAGGGGAAGGCAGAAGTCCAGGGACTGAAGCGACAACAGCCGGTACGCCCCACGGGCGGCCCACGCTCCACGAGGAGGGGAAGGAGGAGGATGAGGATGAGGAGGAGGGAGGAGGAGGAGGAGGAGGAGGAGGAGGAGGAGCACGAGGAGGAGGACGAGGACGAGGAGGACGAGGAGGAGGATGAGGATGAGGACGAGGACGAGCAGGAGGACGAGGACGAGGAGGAGGACGAGGACGAGGAGACGAGGAGGAGGAGGAGGACGAGGAGGAGGAGGAGGAGGAGGAGGAGGAGGAGGAGGAGGAGGAGGAGGGGGAGGGGGAGGAGGCGGAGGAGGAGGAGGAGGAGGAGGAGGAGGAGGAGTTCTGCAGAGGGGGACGCACCTGAGCAGCACCAGCAGCAGGGGCGACGCCACCCCGACCGTGAGCAGCGGCAGCGAGCACCACAACAATGCCGTAGAGGCCAGCGAGCGGCGCCTGCGGCGTCGCGCGCCGGCTCTTCGGCGTGGGCCAGAAGGGAGCAGCGCGCGCCAATAGTTGGCCTCTGTTCCACTCCACCCCTGTTCCTCACAAGTAGCTCCTCCCTGTCGCACCCCGAGGCCGGTCGAAAGGGCGGGCTGGGCGTGTCGCATGAGACTTCCCACGATTTGCGATCCTGACGCTCAGACTTTGCAGCAATTGCACGGATGGACGGTGGATGGTTTTCAAAATGTGGCTCTCGCCTCACCGCCGTCTACTTTCGTCTTCAAACGTTGCAAGAGCTTCGCGGATGGAGGACGCTGTTTTCAAAATGCTGCTGTCGCCTAGCGCCGCGCACATTCGTCTTCAACGTGATCAAGAGTTTCACGGATGGAGGGCGTGTCTGTTTCAAGATGTGGTTCTCGCCTTAACGCCGCCCACAATCGTCTGAACATTTGCAAGAATGCAAAGGTTTCACGAATGGGAATCGGGCCAAATTCAAAATATGGCTCTCGTCTTAGCGCCGAACAAGTTTGTCTTACAAGTGTGCAATCGTCTCAAGGATGGAGGCGGTTCCTTTTAACCATCTCTCGCCTTAGCACCGCAAATACATCGCACATACATTATTAATGGTACTCGCAATGTCCAGTATCGTGAAGACGCAACGGTAGCGGTGATTCGCGGCGTTGAAGTCCTAAGAATCATGTTCTTGAACAGTTCTGGAATTTCGAATGGTTACCTTCCAACGGGGCACTTCCCTCAGTGATAACGAATGTTGTAGGGGCCTGTGTAGAGGGACTTGGAGGGAGGGTTTATTGCGAAATCGTTGACGCGCTTTGGGTTTGCACTGGTCCTCCCCCTCTTCCTCCTCCTCCTCCTCCCTCCTCCTCCTCCTTCTCCTCCTCCTCCTCCTCGTCCTCCTCCTCCTCCCTCTCCCCCTCCCCCTCCTCCTCCTCCTCCTCCTCATCCTCCTCCTCCTCCTCCTCCTCCCCCTTCTCCTCCCCCTCCCCCTCCTCCTCCGCCTCCTCCTCCTCTTCCTCCTCCTCCTCCTCTCCTTATTCACCATGCCTAGATGTGCCGTTGAGGCGGCCGAGGCGTGCTTGTGACAGAGGCGTGGGAGACATGACACCCTCCCATGCGCGAGTGGCAGCCTTCCCCAGGTTGGTCGACGACGTCGTCGTCGTCGTCCTCCTCCTCCTCCTCCCCCTCCTCTTCCTTCTCATCCTCACGTTGTCGTCCTCTTCCTCCTTCTCCTCCTCAATTTCCTCGAGTTCTTTCTCCTGCCCTCCCTCCCTCCCTCCCCCCCACGGCTCCTACCCTTCCTCCTTCATCCCCCCCCAACCTGCCTCCTTTTTCCTTCCCCGTGTAAGGATTCCTGGCAGATTCGTTCCAAACCTCGGATGCTACTTCACAAATTCCCAAGCAGTAGCGTCCTGATAACTTCCTCAGCCCTGCAAGACCCACCACCCATTCTGGAAGCCAAACTCAACCAACATGAGGATCATGATTAACACGATACAGGGGGGAGGAAATCATGATTCAGGGGGGTATAACGGGCTCATGGAGGATACTGCCTCAAGCTTTACTCGGTAAGACAATGATTCGGGAACTAGGGTCGCAACATGGACAGAAACGTCTAATGGGCCAACGAACTGCTCCGCATGCTTTGCTCCGATGTCATGGTTGCCCCTTCCGTGCCTCTGCCGCATGCTCCGATCGTGGCCTCGGTCCTGTGCGCTGGTTCACGAAGATGAGGATGGGGAGAAGACTTGGCTTCCTCTCTCGGAACACGCGGGGAATGATATAATGAGGATGGGGAGGATGATACGTAGCGGTGCGGTCAGATTATCTTGACATGATGACGAGTGAACCAAGGGCGAACACGATGACGATGATGGAATAATGCTGCTGCTGCTGATGATGGTGATGATGAAAATGGCGATGGCAAATATTATGACGATGCTTGTGATTATGATGATGGTGGTGGTGATGATGATAACTGTCATGATTATGCGCCAGCCAAGGCGGGGCGCACCTGGGCCGCCGCACCCTGGACCCCCCTCCCTGCGCCGCCCCTGCAACCAAACCAACAACACCGGGGCACCCGTGCGCCCACCTCAAGCCACCTGCTCAGCGCTGGATGAACTGCATGGAGCCGATCGCGCCCAGGAAGGAGACGATCGACACGGCCAGCATGTGCGCCGCCAGCCAGCGGAAGTTGAAGATCGGGCAGGCCACGGGCGTCCTCGCCGCCGCTATCTGCTATCTGCTGCTTCGCCTCCGCCCTCGCCGACTGTGCGCTGGGAGCGGCCGCACGCGCTCGCCGTCGCGACCGCGTAGCCCACCGCCGTGCGGACGACCAGGCAGGTCGACCGCGGGGCGGCGTCGTCCGCCGCTGGGGGTCCTGACGCCGCGGCCTCCAGGCGCGGGGCCGCGGCTGCGGGCGTAGCGCGCCGAGGCCGGGGGCCGCGGGCACGAATGCGGCAGCGCCGCCCACCAGGGCAGCCAGCGCGAGGCAGCGGAGCACCACAGTCTCGAGCGGCGGAGGGCGACACGGCGGGGGCGGAGTCGGGCGCGCTGCGGAAGGGGATTTAGCCCAAGTGGCTACGGATGACGATGCTGATGCTGCTGCTGATGACGATGATGATGATGATGATGATGATGATGATGATGATGATGATGATGATGATGAGGATGAGGATGATGACGATGGTGGTGGTGATGATGATGCTGATGCAGGTGATGATGATGCTGCTGATGATGATGGCGATGGTGATGATGATGATGATGCTGCTGACGATAATGAGGAATAGGATGATGATAATGGTGGTGGTGATGGTGATGATGATGATGCTGATCGTGATGATGATGAAGATGATGAGGATGACGGCAACGACGACGATCATGGTGGTACAGATGATGGCGATTCTGATGTTGACGACGACCTTGATTCTGATGTTGAGGCGGAGGATGGTTCTGATTTTGATGTTGGGACTGGTTATAATGATGGTGATCATGCGCATGACCATCACAGTGATGCTATTGATCATGGTGGCACTGATAAATCCAAGGATGCTGCTGCTGTTGATGCTGATGATGATCACGACGACGACGATGCTGATGATGATTATGATGATCCTGCTGCTGATCCTGATGCTGATGCTGATGATGGTGCTGATGATGATGATGATGATGCTGCCGCTGATGATGATAATCTTGTTGTTGATGTTGTTGTCGATGATGATGGTGCTGCTGACGATGATGGTGATGATGGCGATGATGTGCAGGTGATGAGTTGACCTAGTCTATAATAATGATGGTGAGGAGGAGGAATAGGAAGAGGGGGATGAGACGGAGAGCGTACCCAATGGTAAGATATCCAAGAACGTCCATAATGCCGAACCTTTCCACGATCAACGGTCGATGCCCCGAGAATGCAGATCAACTAATCGCGCGTGGTAGTGCCGTGACAAGTCCTTCTGCCCCACGAGCCCGTAATATCTGTCCAGGATCCACAATGCCTTCAGATTCCTCGTGTTCTTCAAAAGATCCGCCGCAACGCTTTGCTGCCTTATACGTGTCGGCGCTATGGCATTTTCTTGACTTCGCGCCTTGTGGAGAAATAACTTTGCTCCCATGCATCGCATTGAGGAGCCGACACGTATATTGTTTGCTTTGCGTCGGCTATATTGTGCCGCTCCAAAAGGGCATGAAACCAAACATGAAACTCACAATGAAACCATCCTTCACCCTCCCCGGGGCCTCGCGACGCTCCGGGCCTTTTCTCTGCTGGCCCTGGGACGGGCAAATATGGCCTACGGCTGTTTGCATTAGTCTCTCAACTTCACCGTGAACCGACTGATACTCCCAACGAATACAAGATTCTTGCCAACGCTGGCCAGATCGCCCAATTCGGCTCGGACACATCATGCATGCTCCTCCGAAGCCCCGAAGGAATCCTCCAGGAGGCCCTGGGGGGGGGGAACTTGTTTTTGAAAGCGTTTTTGCCTTACCGCCATTTGAGGTTCAATATTGCCTCTGGTTAGTCTCTGGACGGCCCCAAGGTCCACATCAGCGCCAGCGATCTGGGATGCCCCCTGGGCGACTGCCAAGATGGTTCCAAAGTAAGCCCGAAGAGGGCTCAAGACTTGTCCAAGACGGCCCCAGCGTAAAGACCCCCCTTATGACGGCCCCAGGACCACCGAGATGGCTGAGCCCACCAAGTGGCCCCCGAAGAGGTTCCCGAGAGGCATCGCGACGACCGCGCAGAGGCCCACGACGTGCCACTCTGCGGCGCTGCCGCAGCGTTGGGTCGGGCATGTCCCCACTAACAGGCGGATCTTGGACGAACATCAAGCCATAGGCAGAACATGCCCCAAAGTGCCCCCCCCCCCCAAAAAAATGGTCGAAAAACATCGCCCCCAGACATTCTTTTGACTACAGTCGGGGCCCTGAAGAAGGAACCCTTTTCGTTTGGGGAGGGGCTCCGTGTTCCTTGATTGCTTCACAGTTTGCCTTGAGTTTTCCTTTGGTTTTCGATGGGAAATCGGAGTTTAACTTGTGGGAAACAGGGGCCTCGTTCCTTATTTGTCGTTCCTTAGGTCAAGGCCCCGACTGTACTTTGGAAGACTCCTCCTGTGGAGGGACGGGCCCGACCCCAGGCAGGCGCATGGCGCATGGCGCGCCGCTCCGCTCTTCGCGGGGCGTGGCTGCTCCGGGAGGTCTCGAGGGCTGTAGGGCCGCTTGGGGGGGCTGTGGGCCTGGCAGCGCGCCTCGCCCCGAGAGGGGGAGTGGCGGGAGGGCCAGAGCCCGTGGCCCCCGCACGGAGGAGGGGGAGGAGGAGGAGGAGGAGGAGGAGGAGGAGGAGGAGGAGGAGGAGAAGAAGGATAGGGAGGAGGAGGGGGGGGAGGAGGGGGAGGAGGGGGAGGGGGAGGCGGCGGAAGAGGGGGGGGGAGGGGGAGGGAGGAGGAGGAGGAGGAGGAGGAGGAGGAGGAGGAGGAGGAGGAGGAGGAGGAGGATACACCGCACCTTCTGGACCGCGTGCGCGACAGCGCAAGGGGATACGGCTCCCACACCTCCATGACCCTCTGGAACGTGCGCAACGCGAGCTCGTCCCCGCCCTTCGCCCGGCCGTGCAGCCAGACCGCCATCTCGTACTGCATGGGGACGTGGAAGGGGTCCCGGGCCGTCCCCCCGAGCACCGCCTCGACGGCTTCCTCGTGGCTCGTGTCCATGGCCGCGTAGAACATCACCTTCCGCGCGTGCAGGTCGCTGTCGGGGTAGCGGCGCATGAGCTCCCGTGCCTCCCGCACCAGGGCAGTCAACAGCTCAGGCTGGGCCTGCCTCATGTGGCGCACGTGCCCGAGAGAGACGCCCTTCAGGGCCTCGGTGGGCCTGTCGACGAAGTGGTCGTTCTGCACCGCCACGGCCACGGAATCTGCAAGATTGAGGACGGCGTGGTACCAACCCTCTGGCACGTAGACGGTGTCTCCAGGCAGCTGGATGCACTCCAGCGGCCGCTGGTCCCTCGACAACGTTGGATAGACCACCCGCAGCCAGTCTGAGAGCGCGAAACCGCCGCCGGGCCCGTCCCCGGGCGGGTACCTGTCCAGCGGATAGAAGAACCACCTCTTCCGGCCGTGCGGCATCATCTGCGCTGAGGAGCCGTGGCGGTGCCAGCCTACCGCGCTGCCTGGCCCGCCCAGCATGGTGAGGCGGGAGGCCCCAGAGCCCACCTGGAAGGCGGAGCTGTTCCAGGAACGCAGCAATGGGTGAACGTCGTCGCCGCCGGGCAGGCCCTCGATCTGCAGGCCGCGATCGAAGGCGTACGCCGGTTCCAGCTGCGTGTCCCCATCATACCAGCTCTCGTGCATCAGCCTGTCCAGGTAGTCGCGCAACAATCATCGGCTGCGCGCCCAACGGAGGAAGGCAGAGGGTGCGGGGGGGGGGGCAGGCCTCGCTGAGCGGCTTTCTGAGCCTCCTTCGAAGCTACGGGGGACATCTCAGAAGGCATGAGGGCCTCTGAGAAGCCCCGCCGCCCTCGGAGAAGGCCTGCCCCCGTCTCAGAAGGCCTGCTCCTCCCTCTGCCTTCCCCCCCCAGGCGCGCCGCCGAGCTACCCTGCGGGGGCCCTCGCCGCCGTTCTGTGCGATGCTCCAGGAGTGCCCCACCGCGACGCTCATCGGCGGTTCAAAGATGGGGCCCCGAGGGATCGTGGGGGCCCTAAGGGTAAGGGAGGAGGCGGAGGAGGAGGCGGAGGAGGAGGCGGAGGAGGCGGAGGAGGAGGAGCAGGGAGGGATCAGAGGTCCGCCCTGCATTGTTCGAGGCGCCTCGTCCCGCCTCACCTTCGCAGCGCCCCCCTCATTGGAACCGCCGAGCTCAGATTGTGCCGCTCCGCCGCCCCGCGCACCTCCCGGCGCCCCGCCGGCGCCCGCAGCGCCGCCGCCGCAGCGCCGCCGCGCAGGATGAAGGGCGCCCGTGCCCACGCCGTGTCCTGCCAGACCCCGGGCGGGACTTCCTTTGCTCGGCGGCGCGCCGCGGGGGGAAGGCGAGCGGGGGGGGCGGGCCCCACCAGGAAGGCCAAGGCCCGACGGCTGAAGCAGGCTGGCGCTGGTCTTAGGTCGGGCGTGTCCTCCCGCAGGGGGCTCTCGGGCGAAGCATCAAAAGAGAATGGGCAAGAGATGCCCCCGAACGGTCAAACACACATAGTCAGAACATCGTCCCCAAACTATTGCCCCCTCGCTATTCTTGAGGATTCCTCCCGTAGGGGGGCGCGCCCGACTTGACGCTCGTCCAGCGCAGCACCTCACCAGGAAGGCCAGGACGCGACGGCTCAAGCACGCCAGCGCTTGTGCCACGCAGAGCCTCGCCAGAAAAGGTGGCGAGGCTCCTCGGGAGGCCCTCGGGCCTTCTGCCCTGAGATGCGACGCACTGTTTTTTTTCAGTACGGGGCCCCCGGAAGCCGGGGGCGGCCAAGAGGGGGGCGGCCAAGAGGAGGGGGTGCAACTCATGGCCGGCGGCAGGTGCGCGGCCCTCGGGGGGGGGCCTCCTCCTCCTCCTCCTCCTCCTCCTCCTCCTCCTCCTCCTCCTCCTCCTCCTCCTCCTCCTCCTCCTCCTCCTCTCTCTCTCCCTCCTCCTCCTCCTCCTCCTCCTCCTCCTCTTCCTCCTCCTCCTCCTCCTCTGGGGAAATATCTTGGCCCCCGCCACGATATCCCCCCCCCTAGTCATCACCCCCCTCTTTGCCGCCCCCGACGGAAGTCTCGACCCATTCTCCAGGACCGGTCTTTCATCCCGAGTCGTTCTTTTCACTGCGCCAGCCTTGCATGCAGCGGATTTTTGTGCGTGGATCTCTGTCGATGCAAAACCCTGAAACGGCGAGCGATAAACGAAGTGAATTTCACGTGGATTTTTGGTTAGTCTTCGTTCCGGGCCCCCAAAAATCCGCACGGAATTCACTCCGAAATCCGGAACGAACTTCTCCAGGACACTTCGGGCCCATCCTATTGTTTTCCAAGCGAAACCCGCCCTGCGGTGTTGGCGCCAGAATTGTTTGACGGTCCTGGTGCCCAGTAAGGGCCCCTGGTTACCAGCCTGGAACATATCCCTGTCCCTATGCTGGGCATCGCCTCATCACAATGCCAATCTTATGTATTCCCTTAGTTTTTCAGGGCGCATCCCTAAGATTGTCATCGCCTTTTGGCGTGTCAATCTTAGGGATAGGGATAAGTTCGAGGCTGGTAACCTGGAGGCCGAAAATGGCGAACTAGGTGCGCTGGACCTCTGGGTGAGGAGCCACTCCTTGCGGCCTCGGAGGCGGCTCCGAGAGCCCCTCCCGCGCAAAGTAGGGAACCGACCTCTATACACCGACGCCTTTGTCTGGCCTCACACTGAACCTCGCACAGGAAAGCGGATTCGTTGTTTCATTTCTTCGTTTTTTCCCCGGGGAAGCGGAGAACAAAAATATTCACCACACCACCCCGACGTCGTCCCCGACCCTCAGAGAAGTTCTGGGATTGCAAAACCGCCCGCCACTGGTGATGTATATGCTCCAGTTTCCGGCATAGGCCAGAGCCCTGGCGAGCCCTCCGCGGAGGCCCGTCCCCTCGGCCTTCCTTCCCCCCTGGGAGGGCGCGCCGCCGGCCTCTGCGCCCAGCACGGGTACGTCGCTGAACTCCGCCTCCCCGCCGCGGAGTGCCAGCCGGGCCGGACGAGAGGGGGGGGATTGCAAGCCGGGAGGGGCGGGGGGCGGGAACCCCTGCGAGGAGGGGTCGGAGGGGGGGTGGGGAGGGGT